TTAATAAATTAAAATCAATTAATAAATTGATATTTTAAAATATTATTTAAAAAATCAAAAGTTTTAGTCATTTAATAATATTAGTGATAATAATAACTACACCCATAAACACAAATATTTGTAAGACCAAACAAATATACTAAAAATATATTTTTAAATACTATCACTAGATCAGTATTTCCTCTGAAAATAAGATTTGAAGATTTTTGAATAATTCTGTTAGTATTTGATATTTCTTTTAGCTGTGTGAGAGCCATATGTTCATCTTAAATTAATATGAGGTGATTGATTACGGGGGAGGTCCCGTAGTATGTTTGGTACCCATTTCCCATTTTGCCAGCCCAAAGTCCACCATATCTGCTTCCTCCTCTCTCTGGTAGAACCTAGTGTTTTCATACTATCTTTCCACTAGGGAAATGATGGGAAAATTTTACTTTAAATTTATAAATTGCCCAAAAATTTTGCATCATTCCATAATGTCTATATACCTATTTTAAAAACGTCTTCATTAATCATTCCAACCAAAACATAGCTGTCAGTTATGCAATTATTTTGTTTTATTTTTTAATTAAAAATGAGTGTAAATTTTAAAATAATATGTTAAATTTTAAAAAAATATATAATTAATTCTTTTCACTTATTAGTGTTTATAATTTGATATATGTTATTAAATTCAATCCGATTGTAAGACGATCGAAACACCATGAGATATCAATAATGAGAAAGACTGCTTACTTGGAGAGATGCTAAAATATTAGAAAGGGCTTGCCCACAGTATCGTGAAAATGGACATCAAGCTTATCAATTGGAACATCAAGATTCAAGAGCAGCTTCAAGCATGGGAATGACAGTACCTACAACAAGGGACACAAAAGAAGAGGACCGAAACTAAGTTAAGCCCAAGAAAGCATAACACTTGGAACCTCTGAGTTACAAAAGCCACTCCCTACACAAATTTTCACTTGCACCAGAGGCATGGATGGACAATGCCATGAATAGTGAACTTTGATTGTGCTGACTTTGAAGTCCTAGAATTGCAAAACCGTCTTCTCCGTCTACATTTGTCTCCCTTTTTATGTCAATTGCAGATCCGTACGACTACCTATAATTCATCACGTAACGGTGGCTTTGAAATCCTAAACAATAGTGCAACAAATTGAGGCTAATCCTACGGTCAACAATTAATATCAGAAACAGGAGAAAAATAGTGACAGTAGGAAGAAAAATAGGCCATGTTAAATGACTGATAAACAAAGTCCATTTGCTATCTATAGGCAAAAAATGAGTCATTGAACTCATTATGTTCTTTGCGTTAGAATGGCCTTGGAATTAGTCACATAATTTCTATTAGAATTCGAAATAATCATTGCTCTCCCAAGTTTCATATTCAATGTGAACAAAACCTAAGCAATCCAAGGGTTACCCACAAAAACTCGTAATTTATGTCAAAGTTGCACCCTGAAACAAGTCATGGTCTTTCTCATCTACCATTATAAAAACATAGCGTTTATTTGATCAAGAGCATAATTCAAGTCAATGCTAGGAAGTACTGAGAATGCAAGACTATGCTTCCTTTTTCGAGGCAACCGTAGTGTTTGAACTTGATGCCCTTCCCAAATGCTCACAGATAAAATCTCCAGAACGCAGCAGACATGAGTTTCTCAAGATCGACAATTGTTTTTACTCGAAGTCCATTTAGCATGTAAACAACATCCCCAGTGGTAACATTTACTGATAGAACTCTAGGATAAAATCGATAAGCTCCAAGACCTGAAACCGATGAGTCCATGGTGCTGATCACCATCAGTAAAAACATGGAAAGCATTTTCACTAGTAACGCATACATCAACTTATGGCAGTAGCCAAAAAGACATGTATCTGACAATCATCTTGACAAGAAAATGAACATGTTGAGAACTGAGAAGTAATCATAACTTCATAAGAGATTGAAAATGAGAAAGAATGCATACGTGGAGAGATGCTAAAATATTCGAAACGGATTGCCCATAAATGTCATGGAAATGAACAGCAAACTTATCAATTAGAACAACATCAAGAACAGCTTCAAGCAGTTGAATGACCGTTCCTTCAACATGGCAGAAAAGAAGAATACTAAATCTAAGTTAAACCCAAAAGTAAAAATAATAGAGATGACACATTGAAAACCAGCATACAATCAATCAGAGTCTGTATCAGATAATGGATTTAGAAGAAGCTTCATGCTATTTGTGTGCATGGAAATCACCGTCATGGTTCACAAACCAATAGCACCCTTGTCAACCCCTCTCCCAAGATAAGATATAAAGGAAAGGAAATAACATAACTTAACTTTGAAATAAAGTGGGATTTCGAGCAGAATGCAGTTTTAAACATTATCAGGCGTGCCAACAATGTTATTTCTACAGGGGCAACCCATGACACATGATATATATCTACAAGGTTGAAGACTAAACTGATTGAGAATTCAATAGGAAGAAATAAGACTAACTTTTCTAGCCATTTTTCCTCCTCTTTCCTCTTAAGGAATATACAGCAATTTCAACGGTAGTTAGTAACCTACCCAAAAACGGGTATTGAAAGCTCTCTTGCAGCAGAAATAACATCAAAACAATAACTAAGACTATCTTCAATGCTTTCTTAGTTTTTGACTTTGAAGAAGACTCTGAAGCTGAGGCAGCTGCAGCTACCTCCTCGGCTCCAACTGCAATAGCTGCTTCAAAACCCTGATATAAAGCATTAAAGAGCATCAACAATTTGTCGATCATGAGAAAGGTGCATATTTTCTCTATGACAAACATCTTAAATTCAATAAGAAAACATATGTCCTTGGAAATTATGACTGGGAAGATGTTACCAATATATATCAAAGACAGTTTAGAGTTACCAAAGTGATCAATGTATGTATGCATTTGGGAATATAAAAAAGTAGCAGATTTGCATACATTTAACATATTAGATAAAAAAATATATATATACCTTGAGGGATATCTGCAGTGAGTGCAGCTGAAGAGAAGAAAGCAGTCAGGACTTCTGAGCAATGACGTCCATAGGATCACATAATTGGAGATTTTTAAAATTTACAAGGGAAGCCTCTTATGGTTGAATTGTCTTAACCTGAAACTGAAGAGACGCATTGCAGCATTAGAGAAACAGACTGAGAGAGATCAAAGTGTCATAAAAGAGGATTGTGCATTATTACCAGGAGAAATTTGTTGCTATATGACTATGACCGGTACTGAGAGGCGCCTCTTGTTGTCTGACAGGAGAATTTCAACAGTGATGTTGCACTTAAATGGGTTGGGGGTGAATTAAGAGAACAGTGAGATAAAAAAAATAAGGTGCAACCTAGAACTAGAAGACAATTTAATAGTATTTAGAAGTAAAATGGTGTTCTTGCAAAGTTGCACTGACAATTGTTTAAGCTAACTGGAAATAACTGAGAATAAAACATTGCCAAAGAACAACAGCTTGGTCTACTGGCCCATCCGGCAGGCTTCCCACCCTAGATCAACTGGTAAAGATGGTTTTGCACACACAATTTGCAAACTTAGTCCAGGTGTAGGAATCATGGAGTTATCTACAAGGAAGCTATCTCCAGAAATATGGGTTTCCCGAGTAGTGTTCTAGCAGTAATATGGTACCTAATTAAGATAGAACAGTTAGTAACCCTTGACAAGCATTACCAACTGCCAATGCAAAGGCTTTGATGGGCTGCAATACTGCTGAGGTCAGAGTTCCATAAAGAATTTTGAGTGGATTCAAAAGGTTAGCTGCTTTAGCCTTCAGGGAGGCAAATCAATGTGCAAATGCCTTAGCAGAGCAAGGTGCATGCTTGTAGAAAGCTTTTCTCACTTACATCATCCCCCAATGTTCTTTTTTATTTGCTGGAGCATGATAGAACACATAGCTTAATATAATCTAACATCCAGCATCTAATCTTTCCTTTCAAAAGAACATTTGAAACTCATTTACTTATATTTTCAAAGAATTTGTCAATCTGCACTACCTTACAATCAATTATACAATGCATCTAAAAGGAAGAAAAATTCACAAATCACAACCTAGGCCAATGAATAGTATAAGAAAAAATGACAACAGTAAAAGGACAGCATTCTCAACAATAAAAGAACAGTGTTATTGTTATTTGTTTTTGTAAGACGCGTTAATATAGCCGCCACCTTAATTTTAAGATGGAAGAGTTGGGAAGGGAATCAACCTATCCAGATTTATCAATAAACAGAGAAGCAAGTAGTGCAACAATATATGCAGAAATAATTTAAGCTACTAAAAAGGAAAGAATATACCTCAATAATAAGTCTATAGCTTTATTCCAGATTTCACTCAGATAACAAGTGGCTTTGGTTGTTATACCTGATGGATATGTGTTAAAAAAGTTAGCTTCCAACAATTAGAAGAAGAAGAAGAAGAAGAAGAGGCTATCCTTATTTGCATCTACATCAGAGTGTGAGTTTTGAGTGTAGGTTTTACCTTCTCAAGATCTATTACGACGCTAGGGATGATATGGGTGAGAGACCAATATTCTCCTTTCTCCTCAAAGCGTTGTCGTTTTAAAAGTGGACATTGACAGATCCAGAGAAATCCAAGCGACGAAGGCAGGCCTTTCCTCGGCAAGGACCGTAGCTTTGGGCAGCGTAAAATCGATAAACGTTGAAGAGAGTTGAGGTTTTGGAGGAGCCCTCTGGGTATGGATTTCAGATTCTTTCCATTTTCTATCGATAGAGATGTTAAAGAAGAAGGAAGCACAATATCCAGAAGAGGAGGACACGTGATATAAATGCTAAAGTGTTGAAGAGAGGTAAGATTGCGGAGGCCCCGTTTGACTGCCGGTTGCTTCAGATAATCACCGTCTAATTCAAGTGTTCTTAAGTTTGGGGGAAAACCCCCATCTAGAATGGATTTGATGCCTGGACAACGTACTATCATCAGTCTCTGAATAGATGTAAGCTCATTCATTGTATTTGGTAGGGAGTTGAGATTCTGACAATTTTCTAATATAAGATCTGTTAAGTTTAAGGGCAAACCCCCATCTGGAATGCGCTCCAACCCTGGACAAATTGCAATTGTCAAAGACCTAAGATTGGGCAGGGAGATGCCCATTTGTGGGAAGAATTCTAAAACTGCACAAATGCTAATTTTCAAATCACAAAGATTGCTGAGGCCATCAAGTGATGAGCTTCTCAATACTTCACAATTCCAAATTTGAAGGGATTCAAGTCCCGTGCAATGTTGCAGCATCCTCTCTGGAAATGATTCCAACCTCTTGCAATCACAAACATTAAATTCCTTGAGAGAAGCTGGCAGATGACCACTCCCAACAGAATTTAGAGATGGAAGTCTCCCTATACTCAGAGATTCAAGATTGCTATTGCTGTCACCATCATCTTGCAATAATACTCCATCTGGTAAAGACTCAAAATTGACACATCTATTAATTGTCAAGTGTTTAACCGTGGTGTTGGGTAAAGACTTGAGAGAATCACAATTGTAGATGCTTAATGATTCAAGTCTCAACATGTTGTTGCTGCTACTGCTTCCATCTACCTTCATCGTCATCGCATCAGTTAATGACTCTAGAGCTGCACAGTTTGAAAGGGTGAGACATTTAAGGTTGAAAGGAAGAAGGCCCTTTTCTTTCCTTGTCAATGAAACAAGCAGAGGGCAGCTCTCAATGCTCATTATCTCAAGACGAGCAAGGTTTTCTATCTCAGCACCTTCCTCCCATAAACAAGTAAGCTCGAGGCATTCCTTAATCTCCACCTTCTCAACGGCTATCAAGGACTCAATAAAACCCTTAGGCAAGAAAACAAGTCCTGAAATTCTCTTAATTTCCAAGCTAGTAAGAGAGGTGAGATCAGCCATGCTATTCAAAAGAGCCACATTGCAGTCTTCAATATTCAACTTTTGTAGTGACTGAAGACTCATAGATGATGGGCATCTTAACTCTGGGCATCTTTTTATCACAAGATTTATAAGACAAGACAAGTGGCTGGGTAAATCTCCTATCAACATAGGACAATTTTCAATTACAAGCTCATGAAGACATGGGAATCCCACTCCACTTCCTGTTGTAGAAGTCCATTCCTTCCACACTAACATGTCACAAAACTTCAGCTTCTCAAGAGGTTGAAAAGTGCCATGCCCATAAAACTTAGAATCCACCATTTCTATTGCATCCATGCCTTCAACAATCAATTCTTTGAGTGCTGGTAATTGCCCTAGTGATGGTAGTGTGGTGCTTTTTTTACACTCGCACAGCTTCAAGTATGATAAATTAGAAAATGATGGACAACTAATCCAGGATGGGAATTCCTTGCCACCATAGCAAATAATTGTGAGACTTCTCAATTTTAGATGAGGTTTTAACCAGCTAAGGACTTGTATTTCCTTGTCTTCATTCCTAGAATTGCCAAATTCAGAAGTCCATTGCAAGAGCAACCAATCAAGACCATCAATCTTACCCAGGCTGGCCTTCCTAACATCATGAACATCCAAAACATTATGCAAATCTAGAATAGATAGTTCCCCTTTAAGTTGTGAAAGGTTCTCCAAATCAGATAATTTAATTGATCCATTTTCCTTCCCTACAATGAATTTGCCCAGCGTCAAAAGATCTTTGAGATTAGCTATTCCAAATGGCATCTCTTTCAAGGAAATTGTTCCCCTAATGTCCAGATGATGGAGGCTAATTAAGTTCCCAATTTTCGAAGGAAACTTTGAAAAGTTAATGCAATGGAACAAGGACAGTGTTTGTAATTGAAGAAGAGAGCCTATTGATTCAGGCAGGATTTTGATATGAGTTCTTGAGAAATCAAGGTACTTTAAGCATTTTAAATCTCCCATTGAATTTGGTAGCTTTGTTATACTATAACCCTTAAGAGACAATGCCCTTAAGCACCTTAATTTTGGTATCCAATCAAGGACCACTATTGGTGCTAAATTGCTCTGCTGAAAATATGGATGAACTTCAATGAATGTTCGCAAACTCTTCATTTCATTCACAACTTCAAATTTCTCAGAAATGCCATGCCTGCTTTGGTAGAATGACAAATGACGAACCTTCTCAACATTGACTTTGGATTTCTTACTAACCTTCAACATATGCTCTAGATTGTAGCAAGTTCTTCCAGCAACAAATTGAGCTAAATCATGTATGAGGTCATGCATTACATACTGTACTTTATTACTGCTTGACTGTTGGAAAAATGATCTTGAAAGTAACTCATGGAAATATCTTTGACCAATTTCTTCCAGCTGATTTTCCTCTCCTAGTTGTTGTTTTAAAAGCCCCTCTGCCATCCATAACAAAACTAACTCCTGCTTGTCAAATTCATAGTCCTTAGGAAACACAGCACAATATGCAAAACATTGCTTTAAATGAGAAGGTAGATGATGGTAGCTTAGCATCAAGGGTGGCAGAATCCCGCATTTAACCTCCTGTAAATTCAACATCTTATTGTTTGATATGTATCTCCAATCTTCAAGACTATGCTTACCTCGTAAGACGCCCCCGAGCAGTTTTGCAAACAACGGCAATCCATGGCAGCTCTTGACAATATCTTCTCCAACTTCTCTTAAACTTGGATGTGCATCAAAGTTGTCTTCCCCCAATGCATGTCGAGTTAATATTGGCAAGCATTGTTTGAAGTCTAACTCTCTTAGACGGTGAATCTTGTCTTTCCCACCCATGATTTCTGCAACACGCTCGCTACGAGTTGTGACTACCATTTTGCTTCCAGCTAATCCTGATTGGAAAGGCTTTTGCAAAGTATCCCATTGTTCATAGTCCTCGTTCCAAACGTCATCCAAAACAAGAAGAAACCGCTTGCCAGATAACATTTTTTTCAATTCTTCTTGAAGCAAATTCAAATCTTTCAAATCACGCTGGTCTCTAGATACTGCCCCTAAAATGGATCTTGTAATACTCAACACATCAAATTGATCAGAAACACAGACCCAAGCTTTAAGGTCAAAGCTTTCATGCTCCACTTCATTGTAAACTTGTTGAGCCAAAGTGGTCTTACCTATTCCCCCCATCCCAACAATGGGAATTACAGAATATCCTTGGGAATTGCTTTCATTATTAAGTAACTTTCGAAGAATAGCTACTTTATCAGTTTCTCGTCCATAAACATGAGAATCTGGCAGGGAACTAGAGGGTACCCTCGCTGCATCTACTCCGTCGGGCCGATCTCTAGCTTGCCCAGTTGAACGTAATAAGCTCAATGTGTTTGATTTTTCTACCATGGTTTGCAACCCATTAGAAATAGCCTTCACTTTTGAAATGGTGTCAAAATCAAACATTGAATCACTATGTTTGAAATAGGAGAAGCATGCTGGGATGCATCTTTTGGTAGTGCTGGCATGTTGAGGTTCTGCAATCAAGCTACCCCTCATGACATCAGTCGTGAATTCCTCCAGAATGTCTTCCATATCATAAGTTAAGTCCTTGAGATCATCAAGCCATGTCTTGACAGAATTGACAGTCGTTTGCTTCTCTTCTGCGTCTCTGAGCACATCATAAATTTGTGGTAAAATGGACTTCCATTTTTGGAGCTCTGCATTGACCTCCTCTTGCAATCCGTGGGATTGACTGGAAGTGAAATTATCCACCTTTTGGAACAGCCACTCAAAAGAAGCTGATAAAAGAGGTTGCACAACCATAGACACAATTTCCATTGCGAGGCACAAGTAAGTCAATCTGTAAGGATGACAAAGAAATATTTATGAGTAGATTTTTTAAGATGATGAGAAAAGGTCCATGCTCAGCAATTATGGTTGCATTTTGTTCCTTTTTAAGATTTGTCTTGACGAAGATTGCATATATGAGATGTGTGCTAACCATGTAACAAACAAAAGTAGAAGCATAAACGTACCTTTTTCCATTTTTATGTTAGTTATGAGGAGAAATAGTCAAGTTATTTTTAGTATTTTAATAAAAAAGAGAATTATATTTTATAACTAAAATTTGCTATCCTATTAAGGGTTTGGTCAAAAGCCTTTATAGGTTATTTCATAATAATTATTTAATTTATTTCTACAATTAACCTATGTAAATGAAAGAGTTGGCCAACGAAAACAAAAAAACTATAATTGAAGGTTAGATGGTCGAAGTGAAGTTCCTCCACATTTTTTTATTCTCGTGCATTATTTCATTTCTAATTATTTTTGGATAAAAAATGGTGCTTTAACTTAAGTAACTCTATTGATAATACAAATATATAATTATAAAATTGTAGTATTTTAAAAATGAATTACTATAAGCATTTTTTGTTATATCAATAGATTTATTTTTTTAAGAGATGTAAATCATTTTAAAATAAACAATTTTTTATTGTCTATTTTTATAATATTTTATAATATTTTTTGATAAGTTTATTTATTTTTTTTATTCATTTTTTTGATAAATTACAATAATGGCATGCTGCAAAGATAAGGAATAATGTTCAAGAAACCACAATATAGTAAGGAAGAAGGACATACGTGAAAGAAGACGAGAGACTTTTATGGTGGATGGACGAGGAGTTTAGAATTAAGGAGGAATTGATACTGTAGACTACTCAGACTCAATAATGATGATTTTGACGAATAGAAAAGGATTTGGGCAATTTTGAAAAAATAACGAACGAACGTTAGAAAAATTGACTTGACCCAAGAAAAAGAATTGAATTTCTATTGTTTTTTAATAAAATGTGAGTGTAGCAATTACCAAATCCATTACTAATACTATGGTTTACACTCTCGTTCAAACATTTTCTCTGCAATTTTTGGCCTAATCAAATTATAACAAGTAGTTATCGTTATGTTGTTGCTTTTCACTCCACCCTATAAAATTGGCATGGTGAGGGTGATTGCTATGAATAGCTTAAACCAGTAGCTTGGAACAACTCCAAATGGTGATCTTTCTATTTTCATAATTCTATTTTGCCCCTTTAAACCCAACTTTCCTTTTTCTTTTTTTTTTTAAATCAGCCCTTTATAAACCTAACTGTTTATATTTATTATGGACAAAATCTTCTGTTATTAGTGATAAGGTTTAGTTTCTTGCTCTTATCATAGGAATTTGCTTGTAATTTTTCTTTGTTTTAAAATAAATTTTGTGACCATAAAAAACGTGCACTATCATTAAAAATTAAACAAAAATATATATTCAAGAGAAGTTTGCAACTCTGAGCTAGAATGCCAAAGTATATAAACAGAAATAGAGATTAACATAATTCAAATTGATTATAGACATACCTTAGCCTTTAGCTTGAGCTTTACTTCTGAATGCTAACTTAGAACTAAATCCGGGTAGTGGAGATGCGTTTGAACAACAGTACCTCTTTTTTTTTGGAAGAGGGAACAAGAAAATTTAACAAGAAAGTATATATATCTGAAAGAAAAAAAGGAGAGTGTTTATGGTTGGAAACTGAGATGAAGAGTTTGAAATGGAGAGGAAGTGAAGAATTAGAAGTTGGGCAACTGAAACTGAAGAACGCACAACAGAGATGTTGATGAGCGAGAGGCAAAGTATTCGGGTCTCCTCACTGGATGCTGCTGCATATATACAAAGAAACAAAGGTCTAAATTGTTTTTGCCATCCAAAAAACAAAAAAGTTGAAATTATTTGACTAGATTGCAGATACAGTCCACTGTAACATACCACCAAATAAGACATCAGAAAGAGTAGAACTAAAGAAAAACAGACATGAAATTACTTTTTGGGTTTTTCTAAAGGTATGGTTTGGGTATAGGTTAAATTTACATTTATTATGTTTTTATTATTAATTTATATAAAAAACTATAAAAATAAAATTTATTATTAGTATTGATATCAAATAAAATATTTTAATTAACTAATTAATAAAATTAAAATTAATTTCTTTACATAAATTAATAATAAAAAATTTTAATAAATATATTTTTAACTCATATTTTTAATATACAAATTTAATAAAATTTTAACTTTTTATTCGGTCATGTATGAAATTATTTCTGTAATATTACTTTACTTATCAAAAGAATAAGTGTTGCTTTTTAATTAATGCACGAGAGATTCCAATGCCCAACGTCGCCGTACACTTTTTTTCTGGTGGCCAGAAAAACACTCTAAAACCGAAACCCAGAGAACAACTTCCATTGATTTGGATTTTGGAGTATTATTTATCAGCAAAACGTTGGGAATTTTAATAATTTATTTCATTTAAATTTAGTAGTTTCAATTTAATTTTAAAATTTTTAAACATAAATTTCAAATAAAATTTAA